TGGTGCGGTTATCGCCGTGTGCCGGGCAGCCGGTGTGCGACCGATGAACAGCGGACCGACAACTTTCATCCGTCGTTAGTAAAAATGCTGCTCGTCAACAGAAATTCGTTCTCTGGAAAGGCACTGACTTGTTGCGCTCCACTTTCCAAATTTATGGATATTTCGCGATCAAAGCTCAGCCACATTCCTTGAGAAAATATTTTGTTTCTCGCTTTCTGCGGCAGAGTATCCACACCACCACAGCCCATCTCAAATGTCATCCGTCGCCACCGTCGTCACCCTTCGGGCTTCCCACGGCGGCACCCTGTCACGGTGCTAATTAGGCGGTGTCTCGGCGGCGGGCGAGCCGTGTGGACCGTGTCCGTCCCACCGGACCGGCCATCTGTCTCTCCGCTCTGCAGCACGGGACGGGCTGCCAGCCGAGGGAGTCGCTCCCAGCCGGGACCGTCTGCTGTGGAGTCAGGCCCGCATTCCAGGCTGCATTACGAAACAACAGGTGAATGGAGCTGGGCGAGCACAACAGTGAAAGCGAGGGAGCGTCATGGACCATCCTAATATTGTAAAGAAAAGCAGCAGTGGAGTATGCAGTCAAACAGAAGGTCGTTACATTCGGTGTTATAATTCGGGCTTTCCTCCACGGCTACAGGTGGCATACCTAAAAAATAGGCATAGCTGGACGGGGTTCGATTCTCATGGCCGTAACGTTCGTTTCGTGGCAAACCTGGCGGTCAGACACATGGCTGGAGACGGGAAGCGCTCCCCCACTAACGGTCCCCGCGACATGCACTCAGTGCGGCTGGCCGGGCAAAGCAGCGAGCCGGTAAACGGCACTGCCGTGCGCCTCGCATACCGAGGTAGGCATACCTGGTACTGACTGTTCCTCTGTCGATTACCCTCTGGAAGTTTCATTCGGCTGACCGCTCGGTCATCTGACCAGGAAGGAGTTGACGGTGACTTTCTCGGTTATATCACGCCACGGGCCATTTGCCTGGTGCGGTGACCTGATTCGTCATTAGTGGAATCCATGACTGTTGTCTGGATTGACTGACAGCTCAGCTCATCGGAATTTCGCCGCCTGTCACATTATCATTTAATATGCGTCTAGCTGGTGGCCGCCCTGCGTGGCTGTCTCGCCACGACGCGGCCTGGCCTGGCTGACTCAGTAGATCATTCATCCCTCCGTCTGCCTGACTCAGAAATCTGCGCCAGCCTGCGCCCCGGCCCGTACGCCTAAATTCTGCCTGTTTGTGCTGCCGCAGAGGCGGACTGGCGCCGGGCCAGCGGACGGCACGCGGCTATTTTCAGAGCTGGGTCGACTGCCGCTCGGTTCCCGGTAGCCACCTCACTGGCTCCTCTGCGCGCCCATCTCACACGGTGTGCGCCTGGGCCGCCGCACAGCGGGAGGTTTGCTGAGATAAAGTGCCACAGCATTCGCCGCCGCCACTGCACTTTGAGGCTTGGCCTATCTGGAACCTATTCAGATCAGATAACAGGGCGGACAACGATGCGCGCGCGTAAACACGCATTCTAGAGATAGCTGGACAAATTGAGCATATAACAATGAACAGAAGCAGTGTTTCCCTTAAAACATGCAAATTTAGGTTGTTACTGCGTTGAAAGAAGACACCTTTTCGAATTGTATTTCATGAGAAAATATCACAGCTCTTTGGCCATTGGGTGCAATTTGCGGAGAGAAACCTAGCAAGATACAGGGCATTGGGCAGCCTAGGCATGCTGCACCGTATCGCATACGCCTGTATGTAGGCTGTGCCGCATAGCAAACGCCTGTAAGTAGGCTGTGCCGCATCACATACGCCTGTATGTATAGGCTGTGCCGCACGACATACGCTTAATACGTGCTGTGCCGCATCACATGTGCCTCGCGGCTGATTTATGAAGACTTCATAAATGATTCAACAAAACGAACTTAAAACTTAAAGGTTAGCTCACTAAGAATAACGAAGCAACAACCAAAGCGCCTCCTCACAGCCGCTAGGCTGAATGCGGCTGAATACGCAAGTCACGGACGTGACACAATCTGATTTAACGGGGCGGAGTTCGTCACAGTGTGCCAATCTTCATCAGAGTAATTTGAACCACTAATCTCCGGGGTCAAATTACTAGGAGTCGAGAACCACCAGTACGTGTCCGAGCTCATAACGTGTGCGGTTTGTTTTCTCTCCGCCGCCAGCACAAGTGACCTCAGGCCGAGCCGTGTAATTAGCGAAGGACGCACTCAAGGTCGTTCAACAATCCACCGTTCATCCTTTCCCCCTCACTATCGAATCTGAGGCGCCATCCAGTGCCTCTCATCAGCCAGTGTACCCAGCCTATGAATCAAGCCTTGTATGTGACCCCGGCCCCTCGCCCCGGGGCCGCGTTGCCGAGGTCGGCCGGCCGGCACGGGCCGCGTTCCCAATGGCGTGGTCAGCTGACGGAGTCAGTGCAGCCAGCCGCCGCACCGGGCGGCATTCCAGCACGGCGTGACCTTATATGGACGCCGGCGAGCGCCCCCGAGCTCGGCGGCGGGCAGCCTTGGACCCGGCGGACGGAGCGGCGCCGACGGACGGCGAGACGGGCCCGCCGCCGGCACCGGGCCAAGGGACACACAATTCAGACAGGAGGGCGGACCAGACAGGTCTGACAGGACAGGTGACACGGCGACTGGTGTCTGCCGATGGATTGGGAATGGTTTATTTGGATGGCCATCTGAACAATCCCCAGTGGCATAATATGAACGGTTTTGGAAATTTGGTGGCCCCGGTTGGTTCTTGACTAACCAGCTCTAAACCGTGACAACCGGTCTGCCAGGCTGAGAGATCATCTTTCAGACACGTGGACAACAGCTCGTGACCGAGACAGGTGCCAGGTCATGTTACGTCGGCGAATATCGGAGCCGCCAACCAACCGTGAAGGTGGTGGAAATCACGACAAGCTCGCCGGCTCAGACATATCAAGGCTGTTCGAAATCCTCCAACTGCATGCAACTGGACTTGCCATAGGAAACCAAGAGCCACTCAGGCAGGCTGGGATGAGTTGGATCCATTCCAACCGAGCCAAGTGAGGGAAAATTCCGCACTCCTCGCTCCACGCTGCCAGGTAGACGGGCGAGGGAGACGTCTCGCTGGCAGTGGGACGGACACATTGGGCGCTGTTTTCGCTCGCAGTGGGACGGTCTGGGACTGTCTGGCTGGCAGTGGGACAGGCTGGGGCGGTGGGACGGTGTTTCCGCTGGCAGAGGGACAGGCTGGGACGGTGGGGCGGTTTTTGCCGGGACGGTGCCGGGGCGTAGGGTCGGTTTGGGGTTGACATTGGGACAGGCTGGGACTGTCTCGCTGGGAATGGGACAGTCTGGGACAGTGTTTTTGCTGGCAGTGTCTCGTTGCAGCAGTGGGACGGGGAGCGATGGGACGCTGTTTTCGCTGGCAGTGTCTCGCTGCAGCACTGCAGCAGAGGGACGGTCCGTGGGACGGTGCGGACCTCGCTGGGTGGCGGCCAGGTCATGTCAGCCGCCCGGACGCCGCCCAGCAGCTGCCACAGCCGAGCTCGGGCGGTGCACGGGCGGGCTGCCAGCGGGCGGACGCACCGCCAGCTGCCGAGCCGCCACCGCCGGCGGCCCGGGACCGAAATAGAGAGAGCAGAGCAGAGCCGCGGCATTTGGCGCACACCGCGGACAGTCGCCGCGGCGAGACGGACATCGGATACGCCGCCGCCCGTGGCCGGCCAGGTCGCCATACAGGGCGTCCCAGCTGCACTGCAGCCACCAGCCGGGCAGGCGGCTACCAAGGTGTGAAAACGTTCCAAAAAGCCGTCTCTTAACAGAATGCCAAGGTTCAATAGAGTGGCAAACATGCGTTGCCATTACTTCAATTTTACCTCACGATAAAGTCGCAATCCAATATCCATAATTATGCATCAACCAGATTCGAAATGAAAACAAAAAAAGGATTAGAAATAAATACGCCATGGTATCCCTCCGTCGAGAACAAATAAGCTGGCGTAACCCGTATCACCAGAGTAGAAGTATCACATTTCAGACCAAATAAGGACGAAAATCATTGAACTTCCGACGACGTCAGGTCAGCCCCAGGTGACCTCGGGTCACAGCGGGGGTCAGATGAAGTAGCTGGGTCACGTGCCCCGGTGGAGGGGAGGGGGGGGCACTCGGCGGTACACAGCACCGTTATGGTAATCGTCGACCTGATGCCGATCAACTCCGTCACCGACGCTCGCCTTGACCCAGATCGGCCGCACTGCCGATGGAGAAACTGAATACCTGTTGCCGTGAGAGGCACGCATAACAAGGCAGTTACGGGCCGCGGCAGGGCTTGTAAGAAGTTACATTGTGCATACAAAGAGTATGGATTATAAGAAGCGTAATCGCTGAGTCACACATCCGTCGGTGACATTCGCTATAATTAAACGGGAAGAGCGTTATCGGCGGTACGCAATGCATTGCATGCCCATATAAAGAGAAATTACAGTCATAAAACAGCTTGCACCGGCTTGATTAATGCGTGAAAAGCATCTAAGTTTAACAGCTTTCAGTCCTCGACTTGGGCAAAAAGAACCTTTCTTCAAATAAATGCCGTCCAAAATATAGCGAATACAATAACAGTGAATGCCAAATTAATTCGCACAATAGGGATTCTTTACGACTTACTTAAAAAAAAAACAAGAGACGGAGCAAAATACGTTAAATGCTAGCAGTATGTGCCGGATACAAAAACTATGTATAAATGTGCGCATTTCCAAGCACACATACCATGATTACTAACTAAATGCAAGCAATTATGGAAATAACATGATGAAAGGACATCCCTTATAATAACGGCTGAATATTAGTTCTGTCCCGTGCATCTCTCTGGTCCGCCGGTCGGGTACTCCCTGTTCAGTATGCTGAGCACGGCTGGGCGGGGTGCGCCGGCGCCGTCTGGTCGTCGCCTGTGCACCAGTCACCCTATGGGGCGCACCACACTGCCGCTCACTGGCCGCCGTACCTGCGGACCTGTCCGGAACCGACGCACTCAATCCGAGGGAGCCGACTGCCGAGCCGGGCCGGCGCACCGCCCATCAGCCGGCCGGCCGCCAGCGCGCAGGCGCCGCCGCCGCGCCGGCCTCGTCTAGCGTTACCTGACCATACGCGGCGCGCGCGCGGCCGCCCGCTCCGACGGCGTCGACGGGCGGCGGCGCCGGCGCCGATGAGGGCCGGCATGGCGCCGACGGTCCGACCCCGCCCCCGCCCGGGCGCGGCTCCGACGGCGGGACGACCGCCGTCGATGCAGTCGGGTCGGCGATGGCGACCGGCCGTGCCATGGCCCCTCGCTGATCGGGGCAGCAGGCCGGCAGACTAGAATTCCTGCACGGAACTGGTGTTCGTTTCGCAGGTCTGGCCAATCTGCGCTACAAATATAGCAACCAATCGTGCAGGGTATTTGAAAGAATATTCATGCCTCGGTTTTGAAAAACGGGCGCCTTGCATTTCCGCTAAGGATAGGTATAAAAATGTCTCAACATTCTATGTTCGTCTATGATAATATGTTTAAATATGATATAATGCAGTTGTCCAAAAAATGACCGATTTATTTTACTCTGACTCAAAAGAGCAAGGATAAAAAGCAGACAGTTATAAAATATCCACTACATAGATAGGTATGCACATTAAATATCATGATTTGCTGTGTCGTAATCGTTTTACAATTTACGAATTGATAAGTAAACGTGTGCCTACCTGCACGGTAATCATGAGGTCGCCACTGCACAGTGCACACTGCAGCCCCGATAGTTCCGTTCCAGTACAAAATAAACTTATATCTTCATTCAGTGAATGACTCCGTTATTCAGGTCGGGGAGTCACTACAGTTCAACTTGGAGCTCGTATTCGGCCTCGGCCTACACGTGCGGAACATTTGTTAGCTCGTTCATTTGACGCTTTACATGATGATGTACTTTCACCAAATTTGCATTCTCCAGAGATTCGGCTATTTAGACACATTTACCTGTCCTATATCTACTCAGCTCAGCCTCATATTCAAGCATTTTGTAGACGGAAATGCTCAAATTATCTATAACAATTGCACTTAAGTGCCTTTTTCAAAGTGTTAGGTCTCCTGTCACACTCGACCATCGAGCGTGAAGCTCACAAAACAGACGGACCAGCTTCCTGAGGCCGCCATTCTGAGAAATGGCGGCCAGGTTTGGTTTCTGAGCCGAGAAACCAAACATGAACGAGCTTACACGGAAGAAACGGGCCAAGTTCAGCTATATGGAGGGTTGACCTGAATTATCTGACAGTGCTCACCGGTTCGGAAAGCGTCAGAGCTTTAGCGTCATCAGATCAGACCTAGGCTCGCTGCCAACTTACAGAGAAGTCCTCAAAACTCAATCCCGCCCGCGCCCATTGTTCTCGCTGGCTCCAAAGTCTAATCGTGGTGCTGCATACTAATCCGTAAGATGTTCGGACCCAAAGAAGCCGAAGCTTGCAGTTTGACCTTGTCTCACTCCTCGCACCCGGGCCTGGTGCCTTCACTGACACACATTGCTCCGCGGCAGGTAAGCCAAGGATACGGAAGCGAGCTGCGCGCGCACCTTCCCAGCATGGTGCGGGGCCCGGCGGCGCGGCGGTCGGACGGGACGGGACGGGACGGGACGGGACGACCCTCTGACGGCGCTACACGGAGCGGTGGAACAAGGTCACCGGACAGACACCTTCACCTGACACTGGCCCACATTCCCGGCCAGCTGACACCGGGCGGCGGCACCGGGCCCCTCAGACGGACACTCACGTAGAGAGCCACGGCTACCCGGAACTCAGACGGGCACTCACGTAGGGAGCCACGGCTACCGGGCACTCAAACTGGCACTCAGATGAACTGACACCGACACTTATTATCACGTGGACACTCATTCTGACATACTTATCCTAAAGACGAGTCTGACACAATATATTTTGGACGGTCACCCTAACACACAACCTTCAAACAACTCCTGATGCTGGCGCGTAGCACTGCCTTGACACCCAATGCCTCCCGGAGTGTCAGACGCACGGTCCCCCCTCCCCCCCAATAAGGCACGCTTACGCGCAATACCCCGAAACGGTCACCCTGACACTCGATAACCTCGGAGCGTTCATTCGATGAGTTCGTTTAGTTTCTGGAACCTTGGGTGCTTCATGCGATTCCTTTGTAAGTGAAGCACTCCTTTCCTCGAAACGTTAGCACATGCATGAAAGCACACACCGAGCCGACCGCGGACTTCCTAAACCGGCAGTGGCGCGCGGTGGCCGACCGTCTCCGGGGCGTGCTCGGTCCGCGTGACCCAGTGACCCCTGACCTGACCCGACCCCACGCCGGTACTCGTCACAACGCGCTTCCCACAGCCCTGGCCTCGCTCAACGACGTCCTTACGAGTGTGCAGAGATAAGTTTCGCCGAGAAAAACCACGCATTTCGCTGGGCAGTGCGTGGCTCAGCTCAGTTATGTTCGACAGTCGGGATGCCTACCCAGTTGCCATGGTCGCTATGGTCGTTACGGGCTGGACGACCGACCATTCCTAAGCTGACACGTATGGCATTGACGCTCGGCCATGCATTGTCTGACGAGCTGACCATATATGACATGGCTGACCACATAAGGCGCTGCCTGTCGTTGGCAGGGGGTGCAGCGACGCTGCAGGGTCCACGGTGACCGCTGATGGGTACCTCACAGCCGGAGATGACGGCAGCAGCCCGGCACAGGTGATCCCGGCACCGCCGGATGTCACCAAGGACACTGCGTCTTATTGATCCACCGAACGAGGGCCTTATGCAAGCCAGCCCGCATATGGCAGAGATATCCACTTTGTATGAATAAACCGGTTGAGTATACGTGATAATTCGTTTCTGTAACCGGCTGGAAACCATAAAACTGCGATCTAAGCATTTGACGTTTATTTGTAGCGGCATTGTATATCGTTCATCAAACCTAAGCCTAACCCACACAGTCTATGTGGATAGAACACACGTTACAATGTAGTCAGTCGATGAACGAGACAGCCCACCTAACGGTGTCTCCCCGTCCGTAGGGGTGGCACCGCTCAACGGACAAACAAACAGACCATTACATCGGATAATACATCTTAAGTTATGGTGATTAATCATAAGACAATCTGCGGTCCAAGGAGATTGACGAGATAGTACAATGGATGGGACGACGTTATTATGAAGGAATCCAAGGTAGGAGTCGTCTCTCAGTTGAGCTGGTGGACCTCTCAGTAGTTCAAGGACGTTTGAAATGGCGTATGGACCTCTTGATGCTTACAATACAAACGGGCTTACACTGCGGTCCGGTGCTGGGGAAAATCATAATTAATAATTCAATAAATGTATTAATCGTGAAATCAGTGATTTTGAGTCACAAGTATACACCTGATAGTTGGAACTCTGGGACTTTTTAAGACAGACAGTAGGTTCAGCATCGGAATTTCATCGGGTATTACCTACTGGTGAGATTTTCCATCAGATGCAGGAGCCTGCACGGGAGGTGGTCACGACATGGGCGGGACGTCGGGACGGATCGGCCAGTGGGTCGGAGGTGGCAGGCAGGCGGTAGGCGGTGCACGATAAGCGGTTGACAGTGGATGGCAGACGGTAGATGGTAGACGGTGGACGGTGGACCGTGGACCGTGGACGGTGGATTGTGGACGGTGGACGTGGCGTGAATAATAAATGGAAAATATTAAGAGTGAACCAATGGAGGGATGGAATGGAGGGCCGGTGCGACAACTTCTGGTGGACGATTAATGACAGAGAGCGGTCGATCTAAATTCTGCATCCGATAATCCCCCGAAATGGTCTGACAGACCAAAACAACAGCCTCCTGGTCTGAAAAGTGTTGCGTTCTGGGAAAGGGCGGCCCTCGTCGTAACAGCAAATATTGATGGCTGAGTTCATCGTGAGTCCAGGCGATGCTAAAAAGGACAGCTTAACCCGCGACCTGGTGGGGGGGGGGCTATTTTTTGCCCCCCCCTCCAGACTTTTCGATATATCTCCAGAACCGCTGCGCCGATCGTCACCAAACTTTCAGTACCCTCCCGGACACCAATTTTACACATTGTGACCAAAAAATTTTCCAAAGGCTTTGATAGGTTGGCCGGAAATGACGTCAGAGTGACGTCATGTTCTGCCGTTTTCGACCCAAAAAAGGGTTTCGCGGGAAGAGCTGTCAGGCCTAGAGCTTTGCAAATACAGAAAAATGATAAATACATAAAAGCTGTAGAATTGACAGCGCTACACAACTGCCATCTCGGATTTTTGAAATTTTTGGATTTTGAACCCCAAAAATCAAAAAATAGATTTTTTGAATATAATAGCCAAAAAATCCAAAAAGTTTTTTTTGAATTTCGCAAAAACCGGAATATATGTGATAGTCCATACCACCTTCTATCCACATACCAAATTTGAGATTGATACCTCTTTTTGTGGCGAAGTTATAGCGAAAAAACTGTTCAAAATTGATGACGTCAAATTTTCAACCTCAATTTTTAGCAATTCTAGACCCCGTAGCGCAAAACAAAGACCACCATTAGACTCCCCGTGACGAGCTGCATCGAATCAATACCCATTTTATGCAAAACTATCAACTTTAAAATTTGACCTTTTTTGGCCTGACCTTGACCTGACCTTGACCTAAACTTCACCAGAAAGTGACCTAAGCCGTACCTGATAGTCTTATAACCAACACCATTGAGTTGGAAATGAAAAATTGGCCATAAAACATGCATCACACACAGGCGCGTAACCACCACTGGGGACACTGGGGACCGGTCCCCAGTAACTTTTAGGTTACTGGGGACCGTCCCCAGTAAAACCGAAGACCTCCTTAATTTGCTGCCAACTATTGTCTCTAAATCGACGTGAAGAGTAATATGTAGGTAGTAAAAAAGACAAAACTATGGATATTTTGTTTAGCCAGCGCCCGGGTGGGCCTCTCGGCCAACTTCGCCATGGTGGGGGGAGGGGGGGAGCTTTTTGGCCGCACCAGATTATCTCGGAAAGTAAGCAAGCTAGAAAGACGCGGTAAAAAGCAACATATAGCTCGCTACAGTGTCTTTCAGAATTACTTCTGTCAATTTTAATCGGTTCAGCGATGAGGTCACTGGAGGTCACCAAAGGTAAAATTTTCACGAACGTTTGTTGCCAATTTTGACAACTTTTCACAAATCGGCGCATAAGTCAGGAACCGATAGAGCTGCATTGCTGCGGGAAAGCGCATTCGATAGCTCTTTTGAATGCCTTTCTGATTAATGTTCTCAGATTTGACCTAAGGTCAACGGTTTAGCTTCCAGGTTGGCGTTTTTTTTGCGGAAAAGGTTTTTGGATCATAACTTTTGACTCAAAACTTGTATGACGCTGATTTTACCGGCATCGCGTTTGTCTCGTCGAGACGCGTCGAATGAATTATAAATTTACCTGTAAAGGTCAACATGAAAATTTGACCCCTGGTCAAGGTCACGGAAAAGGTCATGTTGCATGTCATTCGATTGGTGTTGTTGAGCTGAACCCTTTCATGGTGTTTTAAGGGCTCTAGCATGTTTCTACCTAAAGTTATAATTAAAAACTGTTGCAGATGTTTCATGACCTGGAGATGACCTCAGGGGCATAGAAGGGGTCACAAGGGGCAATTTTCCGGTTCAGTGTTTACCTGTGTCACGGTGTTTGAATGTGTTTTGGGCCAAAAGAAGAGCATTTTAATTTTTCCCAATGACTTATAACGAAGAGGTCTCAAAATTGACCTGACATTAGGTCACCGATGTGAAAATTTTGAGACGATTGTTTATAGGTACTGATTTCCTCATGCAAAAGTTTGAGTTTCAAACTTCTGGGATGTAAACTGTAGGAATGACAGTCACAAAGTTTTCTAGAGGCATGGCTACTTTACTTGACCTGGTGACCTCACCTTATAGGTGACCGGCGGTCGAAATTTTCACACACGATGCGAAATTGAGGTATCATAGGCTATACCTACCAAGTTTCGCGACGGTGCGCGCCGCGGCTTTCCTTACACGCCCAACAAAAAAACTGGCAGGTGTGGCTAAAAACGCCCCCCCCCCCCCACCCACCCTCTGCCCCCCCACCCCACTCGGACCAAGGCTGATCCTGAAATATAATATTTGGTCTTCGCGGCCCTCCATGTGGTCCCCAGTAACTTCAAACTCGTGGTTACGCGCCTGATCACACAACCTTAGTAAAGTTGGGCTCATGTGACCTGACCTGTGACCCTTGGTGACCTGACCTGTGACCTGACCTGGTATTGTCAGTGACCTCTAATAGCAACATATCTACTAGGCAACTGACGCCCTATCGCTGATTATCGACAAAATGCGTTTTCCTCGGTGTTATAGCGCATTCCCTAGCAGACCCGTGAACGGTGAAACATTTCATCTTTGACCTGACCTGTGACGTCATCGGTGACCCCGAGGTCAATGAAATTTGGTTTCTCTCGACAAATTTGACAGGCCTTTCGAACGCCGTTTGAATTTTGCGGATCCGTCCAGTAGTTTCGGAGATACGAGGGGGGCAAAAATAGCCCCCCCCCCCCACCAGGTCGCGTTATAAACAGACCCCACCAGGGCGCGGGTTAAAACGAGCACAATGCGATTTATATCACTGTAACCAGTCCCAACAAACGTTGGAGTGAGTCATACACCAACAATCTGTTGATTTCTTCTAGAAAAAGGGCAGTTTGTGTGGATCCAAATTTGTGCAGTAACGAACTGCAAAGTCAAACATAATTTTCAGAAAAAAAATATTATCCCCTCGCACAAGAGTATAGTATATTACCATGAGATATCACGGTAATTTCACAGCATACCCTCGAGATATTTATGAAATCTGATGGCCAATAGTTTCAAACCAAAATGATAATCAAAATCTAAATCTTTTTGTATTTTAGACGTTTCGACAACAATGTGCCATCGTCAGTACCTAATTGAGACAAAATATACCTAAAGTCACAAATCACATTTTAAGATAACATCAGCCCACAATTAACAATAACATGACGGTGGCACATTGTTGTCGAAACGTCTAAAATACAAAAAGATTTAGATTTTATTTATCATTTTGGTTTGCAACTATTGACCATCAAATTTTATAAATACCCTCGAGACTTTAATATAGGTTTGTACACTTGTGATTGGCGACAGCCTATGTGCATCGCCTCATGTTATGATGTCGTCGCAATTGATAAATAAACATTTTTGATATGTTGGACAAGTTATCAACAATCAACAAAAGCGTGTTAATCATTTTACAATTGTCGTCTTGAATCCTTGTCATGACAGCGGGAAAACCTATGACATGGGATATAAACAAACACTCCGTTCACCGTCTGTCAAAGAGCCGCCGTTTGGAACTTAGACCACGGCCCTGCTGATCGGATTGCTGCCAATAGGCGGTTCACTCGATGTAGGTTACATCTGTCACGTTCACCGCTGTTGTCAGTACCGACCAGGGAAATAAAACAGCCCTATATGTATCAGCTGCCGTATCGGCCACTGCCGAGCCGCTGACACTTTCTGAATGCTGCCGAACCGCCATTCCTTCATGAAATAACAATGCCCACTGCCCTGCCACTATAATTAAATTGGTAGGTATATGCTCCAATACCAGTGCAGCTGCTGCTCAACTGTTGGCCGATCTCCGCGGCTGACATCGAATGCTGATTTGGTGGTCCGAGCTCCCCCCCCCCCCCCGGCGCTGACTCTGGCACAGTCACCGGGCAGCCACACTGCTCAGAGCCCGCTGAAGACGTCACAGCACCTCAGCTTCAGCCGCCGCTGCGGTGCAGTGGGCGTCAGGTCAGCGACCAGCGTCGCTGGATTTAAACTGGTTATCAGGGCTCGACAGAGTCCGAAATTTTCATAGGAAACTTCTATCAATTTCATCTGAGAATAGCCATTTCCAAAAAAATATCTTTCCGATCCCATTTACGAGCAGTAGCTACGCTCTTATAAGTAAGAAAGTACCGAGGAAAAAAAACAAGCGAAGGAGCCCTGAGCCAAGTCAATCATACCAATATGTTACCAATATGTTACGCATATCGGCGGTTACTCTAACAACATTCGCACAATGTAATAAAACATGAGCTAATGCAGAAAACAATCACTCCAGAGGCGTGGCAAGAGGAAGAGACTCACCAAAAAACAAAAACAAACAAAAAACACACAAGTCACTATTGTAGGTAATCAAATCGCAGCAACGAGCTCCACCCAGACGTTGTGGCTAGTACAGCACAATACCCCTTCAGACAACAATATCCCAGGGGCGCCATTGTCTCATCGACCTCGGGGCCTTCCTCTCCCTCCTCTCTCCCTTCCAGTCCTACCTTCCCTCTGCCATACATGGTTTACAAACAGTCGCGGCGCCCCGCACAGCGCGAGTAATCGACTGTGGGCGCGGCCGGCGACGGACGCGAGCCGTGAACCGTCGCCGACCCGGTGACTCACGGGGTGACCTTGACCCAGACACCGGCCGGTCGAGAGGCCCCGCTGGTGATGGATCGGCGCGTCCCCCCACCGCGCGATGGGTGGGGATGGGTGGTGGGAAGTGATGTGAATACTAAACAGAAAGAATAGAGTAACTGAGGAAAGAAATGTGAAATAATGCCAAACAGCGTGACCTGAAGAATAAAGATCTGTAAAAAAAAAAAAAATACAGGATAGGTATAGATGTAATTGCGCAGACTGAATTATTAAATGTATCCTTCGGGTAGCGCAGTAACTTTCGTAGCTTAGGCCTTAGCAATACCTAAGTATGAAAATTTGTCAGTAGGTAGGTGTCCAATAACTTACTAATTTTCTACGCCACCTCACTGCTTTTCCCAGCGACTCACAGCTGACATCGATCCGCTAAATGACTTATGTGACGGGTGATATGGCGCTCATCGTACCGTCATTGACCTTCTGATTTCGGGAAAGAAAAATCCTGCACTCTGAGCCTTTCTAGGCATCAGGCAATCTCACGTTATATTGCCTCTCAAACACAAAGGTGGTTATTCAATTAGTACGAGTATATTTCAACAAATACATTGTGAGCTGATAACATGACAAGAATTCAACAGCTTAGGCACATAATTAGCTAGAGCAGCTGACGCCCCCGTCCCTACTGGTAGACGGGCTGGGGCGCCGGCGCCTGCGGCAGGTCGGTGCCCTGCCAGACCAGGTGGCCCCGCTCGTCGGTGGTGTAGCTCCTCGTCACCACGCTGCCGTCGTCCAGCAGGAACTGGAACTTGCCGCTCACCACCGGCACTGTGGTCACCACCTCGTTACCGTCCTCGTCGACCGAGACCACCTCGCGCAGCTGGATGGTCTCCTCTCGCTCGAGGCCGTTGTCGGCCGTGTAGGCGTGCCGCGCACCGGCGTCGCTCATCTCGCTGGTGAAGCTGGTGATGACGGCGTCACGGTCGCGGCGGCGCTCCTCGCTCAGCGGGCGGCTGATGTCGGCCTCCTGGGCGGCGGACGGCACCGGCCGCTGCTGCGCCGGCTGGCGGTACTGCTGCTGCTCCACGCGGACCGGCTGCGGCTGCTGCTCAATGCGAACCGGCTGCGCCAGCTGCTGGAACTGCTGCTGCTGCTGCTCAACGCGGACAGGCTGCGGCTGCTGGAACTGCTGCTGCTGCTGCGGCTGCTGGAACTGCTGCTGCTCCACGCGCACCGGCTGCGGCTGCTGGAACTGCTGCTGCTGGAAGTGGGCAGCTGGCTGAGAGAACTCGTCATCGTCGAATTGGCTCGACTGCTGGAACTGGCTCGACTGCTGGAAGTGCTGCTGTGGCTGCTGGAAGTCAGCCGGCTGAGAGAACTCGTCGTCGTCGAAATGGCTGGACTGCTGGAACTGCTGCTGCTGGAAGTGGCTGGGCTGCTGCTGGAACTGAACTGGCTGCTGCTGGAAGTGGCTGGGCTGCTGCTGGAACGACTTCTGGTCGATGACAGCGTGCTGGCGCAGCTGCTGTCTGTTTGAGCCGAAGCGATGAGGCAGTTTGTCTGGTTGAGCCAGTGCCGCTGCCGCCAGGCACACCACGATCAGTACCTTCATGGCTGAGTGGGCTGAACTTGCACGATGTATGTAGACTGGAGCAGATCTGAACTGCGTCTGATGTCTGTGCTGCAGCACCGCCAGCCATTTATACAGCTGGCTTAGAAACGGGAGGAAAATTGGTGAAAAATTGCAACAATCTGGCTTGTGTTAACGCACAACCTTTCACCTATACGTTCGACTGGACTCGTCGGTGTTAATTGTATCGGTTACTGTCGTAATTGCCGTTACATATCTCAGAGTCGGTTTCCTTTCCATCTGTTGCAGTGCAAAAGATCGGGCCAGGACAATGGGTCATTGGTCAACGACGAGCGGTGTGTGTGGACATACGCGCGGGAGCACGGACCATTCCAGTCTGACGTGTTCTCATCCTGTTTTGTGAGTTTCGACAAGCTAGTGGGCGGCGCCCAGCGACAACTGAACGTCTGAGTATTGAATGAAAATTCATCGATAATCGGATCTGAAGAAAATGCCGCCATACTTTACATTCTACTGAAATAAAATTTTACGAATTTTTAAAAAGTGCCATTGTAAGCGTAGCAGGGTGTTCCAACCACAAATACATTCATTTTCATCACAAAAGCCTTTCAAATCAACTACGCTTAACGCTACCCTGAAGCAAAGTGCTCCCCTGGTTGATGCTTCGAAGCAATATAAGGTTATTTTTAGTTGCTCGAGAGAGGAGGAAGGCACTTGTCTGTACTTTCATATTTTCCCTGTTCATTGTAGGTACTAAACTAGTTCTAAACAAATCGGTTGATATTCAGTTGATAGTTCCATGAAGTGTAAGTACCGGAGAACGGTCGCATCTTTTTCAAAGTTGTTGAAAAGGACACCATCTCGCACCATATAAAACTTATATTGTTTCGACGGATATTTATCATCATTGTCCATAAACAGATGTGCGCAGACAATGCACCCTGAATCCAGGATGCATTTCGCTTGCACTCACAGCTTGCAATTATCACCGCCCACCATCGACCGTGTCTTTCAGTAGGGGCACAGCTGAGGAGCCGCCACGCGGGGATGTCCGCGCGGTCTCGGCCGCCCCCTCAGTCGGCGGGAGGCCCGTCCTACCCTTCCCAGCTCACTCAGCTCGCAGTCCAACCATTGTCGTGTCTCGGCGGCGGACAGGCCGGCCAATTGTCCAATGTCCACTGCCGATTGTGCCATCCGGCTCGCTGCACGGCGCGGCGGTCGGCAGGAGGGCGCGGTCGGGCGGGGCCGCACCATGCCGTGCGATGACCGGTATCAGAGCATCGGTGAAAGGAAAGTGAGCGCCGATCCTATTACACCGGGACTTCCTGCAAATTTACCAGAGGGAAAGAGGATTGCTCTGGTTGGATTGCATGGTATATAGGCCAGGCGACGGGCAGGACGAGGCATCAGATCACGGTGAGACCCGGTCGTGTCTGCACACTCCCAGGTGGAACCTCCAGCAATTATGAGGCTGATGATTTTGGTTTGTGTGGCGGCTGTGGCGCTGGCCCAGCCCGACAAGCTCCCTCGCCGAGTCACCCGGCGTCGGCAGCAGGCTCCCCAGCCGACCTTCTTCGACCAGCAGCAGGCTTCCCAGCCGACTTACTTCGACCAGCAGCAGTTCCAGCAGCCGCAGCAGCAGCAGCAGTTCCAGCAGCCGCAGCCTGTCCGCGTTGAGCAGCAGCAGCAGCAGCAGTTCCAGCAGCAGCCGCGGCCGGTCCGCGTGGAGCAGCAGCAGTTCCGCCAGCCGGCGCAGCAGCGGCCGGCGCCATCCGCCGCCCAGGAGGCCGACATCAGCCGCCCGCTGAGCGAGGAGCGCCGCCGCGACCGCGACGCCGTCATCACCAGCTTCACCAGCGAGCGGAGCGACGCCGGTGCGCGGCACGCCTACACGGCCGACAACGGCCTCGAGCGAGAGGAGACCATCCAGCTGCGCGAGGTGGTCTCGGTCGACGAGGACGGTAACGAGGTGGTGACCACAGTGCCGGTGGTGAGCGGCAAGTTCCAGTTCCTGCTGGACGACGGCAGCGTGGTGACGAGGAGCTACACCACCGACGAGCGGGGCCACCTGGTCTGGCAGGGCACCGACCTGCCGCAGGCGCCGGCGCCCCAGCCCGTCTACCAGTAGGGGTTCAGCAGCGTCAGCTGTTTCGGGCGGGGGCTGTGTTGTCACAAACTGGATAGCGTCCATATTTTCTTATCGAAACATAAAGCACATGAATCGATAACCTTGAAAGTAATAAGATTATTGCAATGAAGGGTTACAAAGCAAAAACTTGCAGATCTTTCTACATTACAGCATCTTTTGGCCAAGGTCTTGATGAAAAGTACCATCTCTTTTTATGAAGCATTGCTACGAACGGAAAAAATACGTTTACTTTCAATTTTCAGAAATCACAGCCCAGTATTTCGTGCTATATATTCACTACTCCTTTGTTGTTCAGCAATGCTTTCGCTTCTGCTGTTAATGTTTGTCCTGTTACCGATCATCTAATGTTCCCTTACGAAAACTTGTCTTTTTGTGTTTGTGTCAGCTCGGTGTAGCTTGTGCCTCGCACCTACCGTTACGCGATATTTGTTGTGTTACGCTTGGATTATACCAGGTTCTGTTGAATGGAATACATAAAGATATGACGAACATCAGAGTAATATGCCTACTGTGAAAACACCCGGATACAGCGTCGAATGAATAACAACGGAGTACGGACAACCTATATAGACGTCTCTTAGCGAGAATATAACATGCAACGAGCTGGGAGATGAGGGTGTAACAAGACAAGGCATCGAACAGTCAGGTGGGGGTGTAACCGGACAACAAACACCCAGGTGAAGGTGTACCAGGGTAACAGGGTGACAGCTGGGTGAGGCTGCAGCAGGGCACGCCGTTCTAGGTCGATATAAATATAGCTGTCCAGCTGGGTGGAGCCGGCCTGGCCAGAGTTGGAGCTCTGCTGCTCGCAGCCCCGCTGGATGTCGGCCAAAGACGACACCCGGGTCCACGAGGGGTGGTCAGGTCAGCCAGGTTCGAGGGGGTGTCCGACACCCGGGTCCCAGAGGGGTGGTCAGGTCAGCCAGGTTCGAGGGGGTGTCCGACACCCGGGTCCCCGAGAGGTGGTCAGGTCAGCCAGGTTCGAGGGGGTGTCCTGACATCTGAAGACGTCCGCTTGAGTAATGTATGAAGTCTTCGTGATAATAATAATAATTATAAATACTGGAGACATATTAAAATGTTTAACATGACATTTGGAAATCCTATCAACTAAAGGAAATTTGGTATGAAGTCCCCGAAATGGCTAAAACAAGCTTCTATTTAGATGCGAGTTTCAGCCAATTCACATGGCTAGTTGTTTCATATGCTAGCACGTGTCCAACATTTTTTGTCGGTGTTCTTTTATTATTTCTGTGACATCATACAACCGATATCAACCGTGCAGTCAGTCCGACTCTAACACCACGTCACAGTTCCGTTGATTGGTGATGCATAACTATCTAGTCCGACGCTCTTCAGACGGCTGTGGCGTCATTTCTGACGATCAATGAATTTGGTGACGTTTCCCGACGGCTGCTTGTGACGTGAGGTCATGCTAACGTCACTAGCCTGACAGACACTCAGCGACATCTTATAGTGACGTCTGGTTGATTCAGCATCGCTCCGTCGTTTCCATCCTCAGGACAGTCAAATCCTTCTCCACGCCTCAACCCCTGTTCCGGGCTGGACGGGTAACTTTATCCCACACGCGGGAAGTTTCCCTAAGAGCACGCTTGTAGCCGGGTGCAGTGAGTGTCAGAGGGCTGGGTGGCCTGTCTACTGGATGGGCTTAAGGCCGGAACACAGCTTTTCAGCTCGCAAATCGCGTCTCGCTTCTCCCATTGCAATGCATGGCATATTTTCAGCTCCCAACACGCAGGTCGTCTCGCTTTTACGCCGCGAAATCACGCCGGATCCTGCTCGGAAAACGCGAGCGAAACGCGAGCGAAACGCAAGCAAAATCAGTCCGGCGCGAGTTGCAAGCTGAAAAGTTGAATCTGTTTCAACTTTTCAGCTTCTCTGCTCGCGAAATGCAAGCGTAATAGCGTCAGTGACCATGGAAACCAAATAAAGCACCTTGGCTTACGGCAATTTTAACAAAATACCGGCATGGCCTCCTGCTTCCAGCACATCGGTATTCATTTGATTGACAATTTGATACGTTCAACGTATTAAATTGTTTAGTTTTTATATTTCGATGTTTCAAGAAATCTTAGCACGTAGGTATCTTGTACTGCGGTCAACATAAAATGAGGAATCCGTGGATTTTTTTTTTCTTCAAAAATCTCCCTTTCTAATTTTCTTCAAAATCGGTAAAACATACCTAAAATTGATTAGAAAATGGTTACTTTTACTTCCATTCGAAAAAAATTATATGCCTGGCATGTAGAATTCGGGCTGTAGACAAATTTTGACATTGTGGTCCCATTGCTTAGGATGTTCAGCGTTTCAAAGAGTAATTTCATGTATTTCCGTAAAACCATAACGACTTTGTAGACAAAACTTTTCAGAGTGGCAATGCGGGGTAATTTTGCCGGTGCTAGTGGAACAGCTTTGACGGTGCTCTCAGGATCGCTAAGCTGGAACGGCCGACTTGATAAGCATTAGCGGCGAAACACCTTCAATTAAGGGGGGGGGGGGACACTGCCCTGTGCCCATTCTTTCCATGCAACGCCAATAGGGCTAATGTTAAAATGCCAAAATAAAGGGGGGCACGGTGCCCCGGTGCCCCCCCCCCCGTTCCCGGTTATTCCACCTACCTATGTAATGATAAGGTCGTCGTACCGAGCTGGTTGGGTTTATAGCCGTTGGCGGTGGCATTGCGGCACAGTCTGTCTCCTAGGGGCTCATCAAGACACTGCGCAAAGCAGCACGACGAAGTTGCTAGGCCTCTGCTCAAACCAAACTGATAGTCACATCTCCAGCTAGTAAACACTATTAACAACTCGTTTGCAGACATCGGAGGCCTATGAGATGTGAGGATCTGAGACTGAGTTGAGTTATTTCTTTGATTACTAAGAATTTTTTAATTGAAATTAGTCGATTATTTCCTTACTAGAATAAATAGTTGACGTTTTTCTCACCACAAATAAAATGCATATGTCTGATTTAGCAGTGTATGCTAAGGAAGCACATTTTCAGTTGTGCAGGAAAATGCTGAAATAAGACCTGAGTCAAAATCATTCGAAGATAAGTCCGACATCGAGTCAGCCTAAAAATGCGTAAAAGACACATGTCATTGCTGGCGGTGAAGCTGACTTGCCCGTCCCGTAGCATAAAACCCAGGCCTCAAATTAACACCGGCCAAATTGCTCTACCCAACCGGCCAAATAACCCTGCTAGCGGGGCAATGTACCTGCTTTGCAGACCTTTGTAGAACGACAAAATCCAGCCATAAGTAGTTGCTCTATCATTTTCAGCTTGCTGTATAAGAAAGTAAAATGAATGTTACACCTGCCAGCCTTGATAGAGTGCAGAAGTATGTCGCCAGTTTCGAGCTACAGCGCTTCCTAAAAAAAACGGCCAAATTACCCCATCCTCCCCTACCAAAAAACCGAACCCGCTTCTTGGGCCCCTTGACCTGCCTAAGAGGTCACCGGTTGTCTTGGAACCTTGAAATCGGGTACCAATCGCTGCGTCTCGCAATGGCGCACACGCTCGTTTTAGCAAAGATACTCTTGCGTTAACTTGACTTGGGGCCAGCCTTGTTTCGTAGGCTGAACCGCAAATAGGGGCGTGGTAAGCTTCAAAAATATTTCAAGGCATTTTGGAAATAAGCTTAAAAAGACCCAAAGCCAACGCAAGATATTGGGTATTGGTCATTTGGGTCATGACATGACCTGAAGAACAATGTCATATATCCGAAACCAAAAACCACAGAAACTTGCCATTTTAATTGGACGCTGAGAAAGGATAGAGAAGCAGCTATACGAAAAATCAGGGTTCTAGCTTTTAAAATATTTAGTTCAGAGCAGTAAAAACTACCTGGGGGTGGTAACCACCAGCCATGTGCGGGCGAGGGCTAAGTGGTTTCGTTGGAAACCGAGAGGAATTTCATCCAACTTCCAAATTATGCCGTGATTTAGCTACAATTCAATCCTGTTTTTGAATCTCCCACTTAATTTTTTATTCTGTCTGTAGGCATTAAACACTTTGCGTTTGTAAATTTATAGGCTGTTCTCCATTTTTGACAAAATAATGAAAATACCATGAGCAACACGTTTACTCGAAAGTTAAACAAGACTGCAATGTCATGTTAACCCTCGCCCGCACATGGGGGGGGAGGAGGTGGTTGCCACCCTCCCCCCCCCCCAGGTAGTTTTTCTGCTCTGCACTCAACATTTTTAGAGCTAAAAGCCTGATTTCGTATAGCTGCTCCTCTATCCTTTCTTGATGTTGACTGAAAATTTTAAGTTCCTGTGGTTTTTGGTTTCGGAGATATGACCTTGTTCTTCAGGACATGTCATGACCCAAATGACAAATGCTTAACATCTTGCGTTGGCTATGGGTCTTGTGAGCTTTTGACACCTTGATTTTGGCCTGTTTTGCCAGTCTTACCTTCCACCTATCATGGAACATGTTGTTCGACGATGTACAGATGTGAAGGCCAGGGTCAAGGTCAACCTATGTCATCTAAAAGCATTGCGATATAGGCAAGCTGAATTTAAAAATTTACTTTTCGTGAATTTAAGAATTTACTTTTCGTGAAGTTTCTTTGACTATATTTTTGGTAAAACCTTCTCATTTCATGATCTCATTTAATATGGACACATAAACAATCGGTGCACACATCATTATACACACATACACTCACAGACATGCAAACACATATCATTGACCTTGACCTAACTTGACCTGAAAGGACCTCAGCAGCAAAAATCTGGTCGGATAGTGTGACAAAGAGGTTCTAACTGGCTTGGCACCACAAAACGGCATCGTCATTGGTACCTATATGATGAGCAGCGCACTTGATATCCAACGGTGACCCAAAACAGCAACACTTTTTAGTTTGACCTGACCTGGAAGGTCAATGACTGACCTGAGAAGTTAAAACTGGGTATCATTGGATTTGTCTCTTCCCAAAGAATCTTTTTGGTCCC